GAAAAAAAAAAAAAAGTGCTCCGGGGATTTCCAGGAAAAATTGTGTCCAATAACACCATGAATAAAAACTTGTTTTTAAATTTTTGCCAGCCACTTAAAAATGAAATTTTGCTTTTCTGTCTTAGTCTTCCAGGATTTGAGACACACGTTCTTTTTTTTTTTAATTTAATTTAATTAATTTTGAGGCAAGTTCTCACTATGTAGCCCTGACTGGGAGCATGTTCTTTCAACTGTGTAGATTACACAATCTAAGTCCAGGACAGACTATGAAGGACGTCTTTAGTGGTTCTTTTCGACATTTTTACGAACCAACTGTTTATTGTTAATTTTATTATTTAGTCTGCTTCTACTAGCCTAGATTTCTTATCTTTATTATTATTTTTATGGCATTGAAAACCAAACCCAGGGTCTTGCACATGTTAGGCAAGTGTTCTACCCCTGACCTGCCTACATCCCCTAGCCTTCTTAAACCGACACAATAATCAACATCTACTAATTGACTACTTCCTTGACTTCTTATAATTTTGTAGAGAAGTAGGATTTTTTTTTCATTCATTGGTAAATGAGCTGTGTAAAGATACTTGTTTTATTAGGATTCCTTCCTGAAACATTTAATTTGGTGGAGGCACATTTTTTTTCATTGTATAGTATCTCTGTGTTTTGTTTTTCCAGCAAAAAACCTGTTTATAAACCTGTCAAGCTGTACATCCCTTGGAAGGGAAAACAGACTCAAATGAAAAATAAGCTCAGTTGGAGGAAGGAGTATTTTTTCCTATGGGTTGGTGTTGGTCAATGGCCCAACCTGGTGTCAGGCTCTGGCCCTTGAGTCATCAGGCAGTCATTCTTTTGAGACCCAGGTTGATGGAGCCCCCCCCCCCCCATCTGACCTGTCTTGGTGCTGCTGAATACAAAATAGCCAGTAATGCTGACTTCTGCGTTTTCAGTTAATAGCCACTGAGTGGGGAGTCAGACTGTGCACCCAGACCTGTTTTTCTGGTGGCATTACTGTTTTGTGTGGAGGGATGTGTTTGCTCATAGCTTGTGCTTTGCAGTAGAAGTCCCTGTCTGCCCAAGGGCACCCAGACCTCCGCTAAAGGAGTAATTCAGAACTTAAAATGTACTTTTTTCTAAATAAAATTTTTATTATTTTTCACTACAAAAATCAGTGTGGAAACATTTTAAACTCATTTGTTTCAAAAGCTGCTACTTCATGGGCTGAATGAGATTGGTGATTTTTTGAAATAAGTATCTTTGGCCCTTTCTTATGTAAACTAATCTGAGTCTGCAGAGAGCCTTAATCTTATTTTTTCTTTCAAAATGACCTTAAAGTGTTTTTCTTCTGTCTCTTCTTTTTACTACTGACTCTTGTCCATTTTCAGGACAATGTTAGACTGTATTTACGTCGTCATACCCTGTCCTTTCCCCATCATCCACCTGACTTATGTGTTTTTATTTTAGGTTAGTTGGGATCTATAACATTTGTAACTTCTTGTGTTCCACTTACTATTTGGTTAATGGTTAGAAATGCTTCATGCTTGATGATATAAAAGGCATAGTTTTAAAAGTAAATTTTGGATTTTTCTTGAAGACATTATACTGTTTTCAATTAAAACAAAATTTCTGTAGCCTTATTCTTATAGTTAAAACAAAATGGTAATCTTTAGTGAGATTTATCGCCAAAGTACTAAATCCCACACTTAACGTCCTGCACCAATCAAAGCGTAGATTTTGTAGGAAGATTAAATGTAGGACATAGTCATAAAGCTTCAGAAATATTTGGTTGTAATGTTCAGGCTTATTTTTTGTCCAGATCTCACGATTTCAAAACCAAAATAGGGGCTGGGAATGTAGCTCAGTGGTAGAGAGCTTTTGTCTAGCTTACACAAAGCCCTGGGTTCCATCTCTAGCACAACAAAACAAAACAATAATAATAATAGTAATAATAACAAGCCCTGGAGCTGAAGAGATGGCTCAGTGGTTAAGAGCACTGGCTGCTCTAGCAGGGGATCCAGCAAGATTCCCTGCACCCACATGGTGGCTAATAATGATCCTTAACTCCAGTTCCAGGGGATCCGATGTTCTCTTCTGAACTCTCTGGGCATTGCACAGCATAGGTGCATTTATACACATGCAGACAAAACACTAATATATATATTTTTAAAAAAAGCCCCAAACAAAATAACACCAGCAAGCCTGTTTCTTATCAAGAGATTAACAGCCTTTTCCGCTGAACTTTAGAGTAGAAAGAAGCACTGAGGATCATCACCTCACTTTGGTCTTCCCTGTGCCTTCTCACCTTGAGTTTTAGACTAGAGAGGCCGGTTATTACATGAGTACATTAAACTTTGTTTTTCACTCATTGCACATTTACTGAGCATCTGCTGGATGGAGAGTCAAGATGACTAAACAAAAATCTTGAGAGGAGCGTGTATGCTGAGACCAACAAGCAGTGTGTAGGATAGAATTGGGGGTGTAGCTCTGTGGTATAGTGCTTGCTCACTATGCTCAAGGTCTTGGTTTCTATCTCTAGCACCACAGAGAGAGAGAGAGAGAGAGAGAGAGAGAGAGAGAGAGAGAGAGAGAGAGAGGAGGGAGGGAGAGGGAGAGATTGATTAGTGGGCTAGACGCGTGTAAATGACTTTGGAGCCTTCATAAGTAGAAATAACGTCTGTCAAGGAAGTGCTGGTGAGGCTTTATAAAGAAACAGTGTTGATTTTAGACTTTGCAGTC